CCCCCCCCCCGCCCCAATGTTGTAATATTGCAGTTTCGTCGGACAATTTTAGCAATTACAACAACATGCCCGTCAGGCAAAAAATATGTAGTCAGCAAAAAATTTTCCATAGTGTTTTGAAAAGTAATAATTTTTAGGAAAAATTTTCCATAAATTTACGAAAATATTACTGGAAAATTGCACAAATTTGGGTAAATTAGTGAAAAATGGTAAGTCCGAACTTTTTTCTCCCCCCCCCCTGCTCTCCAACAATTTTAGAAAAAGCAATATTAATGAAATGTTAGTTGGGCACCACTTCCACCACGCCCTTTTGGTTGAGCAAAACAAGCTGACATCCCGCAGCCTTAATATCCAAGTTACGGCCCTGTTCTCAACACTTTCTAACTTCAACGAATCATTTCCAATTTCTCCTTATTTCACTCTGCGTTTTATATGGATCCAATAGCCTATTTCCTACTCTAAATTTTGGCGGAGCTACCCTCTCTAACCTGCCATCATATTTCTTCATACGACATTGATTCACTTAGCTTTTTTGTAGGAACTTCACTCGACGTAAAACTACAATCACCCAACTTATTTTCGGAGCAACATAGTGCGAATTTCTGTTCCAAATATTAATTTTGCTGGATCGAGTAAAAAAACTTCACAATCTCTTACAAAACCAAAGTGCTGAATGTCTTTATCCGTTCTTGTGGAATAAAAGTTTGGTCGCGATATTTTTTAAATTTGTAGAACTTTCAAATGTGTTTCACCAGCCACTTCTGATACATTTTCTTGCAATATTGAAAGTACAAAAGTTACTATCCACTTCTGAGGACAATACCATCAAATACACAGAATTATTGTCGAATATTTTATAAACCTTCATGATTACTATCTTAATTCCGACCATTTTCAACACATTCCGGTAAGTGAGATAGAAACTTTTCAATTGCAGTTTTGCATCTAATGTCCTCAAGTGTAACTGCTTTCAACTCTGGTATTCTATGATCTTCAATATATATAAACCTAACATACAGTATTCGTCACAGGCTCTGAAACCTTGGAACTTACAATATCAGCTCATGGCAATCTAGACAATAAATACGATTAGCAGTGTTGTGCCTTCTATCTGCGTGCTTTATATCAATATTGGAACAATCTTACTTTTCTATTGCGAAATTTACCTTGTCTCAGTACTAGTTAATGGCTTATTATCCTTAATTTATTTAATTTAATTAAATCTGATAAAGATAATTATGAAAATGTATACACTGCCCACACAATTGCTAGCCCTCCCTTTTCATTTGGGAATATCTCCCTCTATACGTTATTCGTCCAGCGGCGTAGCCTGTTCGTGTAATTTGGGAGGGGGGGGAGGTCATATTTATACATTCCTCTTCTGCATTATTAATTTCTTTTGAAATCGATTGTTTTTAATGTTTGTGAACACGAATATATGAATATGGACACCCCCAATTACCCGAGCTGGCTACGCTACTGCATTCCTCGTTTGCCAATATAATCACTTGGGGTCAGCTCTTCTTTCTGCTCCTGCCTCAGTATTATTCCTCATCTTATGCCCTGTATGGTCTATCACATTTTGCCCCTAAGCTCTCGTGCTTCCAGATTAGTGACATAATCATCGAGGAGATTCCCATATTTCCGACAACATTTGAGATGAAATGCATCTAATTTTTCGCATCGTTTAGCGCGTTTTGCCATTTCTCGCAGACATGCAGTATCAAAGAGCATACTAAATATTGCACTTTATAACAAATGTACTTGCAGGGAAGGTGAGTCCGGGATTGGACGCACCGAGGGTGGCTGGAAGTTTCCCGAACTTACCGAGCGAAGCGAGGTGAGTTCGGGAAACTTCCAGCCACCCGAGGTGCGTCCAATCCCGGACTCACCTCCCTGCAAGTACGTTTGGTTTTTATCCCATACACCGAGCCATACACACATTTGTAGCTCTTCGCGACATATTCGTCGATGTTTTGTGAACATTTTCCCGGCCAAAAAAATCACTGGGCAAGAAAATACTTCTTTAGCTACGTCTACATTACCTTTACTGCATTTTTTCTTTGGTTTTTCTTCAGTCTCAGTATGTCAGTCACCGAAAAAAGTTCTTTAAAGTTTAGGTTTATCGGCTAAATCTTGTCCGCCATATTTGTTATTGTTATTGCAACGTAAGCAGTTTATCAGGTGAGTTCGGGCGAAAAGCAGGTGAGCTCGACAAAAAGCAGGTGAGCTCGACGACAAGCTCACCTGCTCTAGACCAATCAGAAAGCCGCATTTAACACAGCTATGGGATAAGGATTACAAACCTAGCTAACATCCCAATATCCTAATTATTCAAGTCCCCCTATATATATATATATATATATATATATATATATATATATATATATATATATATATATATATATATATATATATATATATATATATATATATATATATATATAATACGAAATGGCAGCCATGTTTTATACCAATATACTATGTGTTACATGAAGTGTAAGGCAGGTGAGCTACGAGCCTTCAGTATAGTTTTGAAAGCACAATATTTTATATATATATATATATATATATATATATATATATATATATATATATATATATATATATATTTATATTTATATATATACACTGTTAATTTCAGGGAGTTATTTTAACTCCACCATAGGAGTTAAAACTACTCAGCTCGGGAGAGTAAAAATAGTGGAGTAAAATCTACTCCCAAAATAAAACCTATGCCTAACGTACCCCTAGCTAGCGTATGCCAGCGTATACCGGCGTATGAGTCATATTTTTCATACGATAGCATACGCTAGTACGATACGCCATAGTGTGACAGGGCATTAACCATATTTGTACCGGGGTGCGCACAATGATCGCACACCTATGAATATTTATCCGTCACTCCTGAACAAATGATCTCATTTGCCTATACAGGGTGTATCAAAAAAAGTAAGACAATTTTGAAATTGCTCTCAATTCCACAATTCTGTTCATGAAATTTATTATTTGATATGTTATTATTTGAGTTCTTAAATTATGGAAAATATGAAAAATTTTGAAAATAGAAAATTTGCTATCCAGGGGGGTGGTCAACTTTTGCTCCCCTAAAAGTGGCTTGCGCACGGAAATAACAAACGGTATTCTTTATTTGAGTTCATGTATGAAAAGTTCGCTATTTGTTGCATTTATGATAAAATTTCGGCAGGATTTTACCGAGTACAAATCCTCCGAAAAGCCTATGAAAACGTTACATTTTTCTCTGTTGGTGCTGTTCTTGCTTCATTATGAATTCATTTTTACTCCCATGAGAGTTCCGTGGAATTTCCATGGAATTTGTGCTTTCGAGTTGTTTGT